CCCCCCCGCCCACTTCGGTGGGCTCCAAGGACCCATTCGCCTCCCCGCTCCTTGCCCCCGGCTCGGACAGCTCAGCTGGGCTGGGGAGTGCCCCACACCCGAGGGCGAGGGCGGGCGAGTGTCAGCCAGGCAGCCTCTGGGCCTCTCTCCTTTCCTGCCTTCACCTCTGCCCCAGGAGAGAGAATGAATGGAAGCCGATGGGCAGGGGGGAGGATGATTAGAAAAGAAGAAATGGACATAATTGAGCTGAAGGGATTCTGTAGAGGCCTCAGCTGCCCTCCCCCAAGGGCCTCTGTCCCTCATCATTCATTTAACAAATATTTATTTTGCACTCTTTGTGACCTGGCACTCTGCAGGGGATGAGGGGTGCTGGGGATATAGATGTGAATAAGAGAGACACAGCACCTGCCCTCTTGGAGTTTACATTCTGGTTGGGGGAGATGGACAATAAACAAGTAAATACACCAACAAGCTCATCTCAGACAATGCTCTGTGCCATGAAGAAAATAAAGCTTGGTGCTGGATGTAGAGTGATTTGTGGGGAGTGGGGCCCCTTTATTTTTTGTTTGCATTAAAAAAAACCTTTTTGAGTACAGTTGACACACAATGTACATTAGTTGCAGGTGTACAACATAGTGATGGGACAAGTCTATACGTTATGCTCTGCTCACAAGTGTAGCCGCCATCTGTCACCATCAGATGCTATTACACCAGTGATTCTATTCCCTATGCTGTGCCTTGTGTTCCTGTGACTAATTCATTCCATAACTGGAAGCCTGTATCTCCCACTCCCCTTCACCCATTTGTCTATCCTCGCACCCCCTCAGGCAACCATCCGCTTGTTCTCTGTATTTATAGTTCCGATTCTGCTTTTTGTCTGTTTATTCATTTGTTTCGTTTTTTTAGATTCCACATATGAGCGAACTCCTCTGGTATTTGTCTTTCCCAGTCTGACTTATTTCACTTCATGTAATCCCCTCGAGGTCCATCCATGTGGTTGCAAATGGCAAGATCTCATCTTTTGTTATGGTTGCATAATATTCCATAGTGTGCATGTATATGTGTATGTGCATATACACACACACAGCCCATAGCTTTTTTTATCCATTCATTTATTGATAGACACGTAGGTAAGAGTGTGGCCCCTTTAGATAAAGCTATTGGTCTGGGAAGGCCTCTCTGAGTTGTGTTCCTCATGCTGAGACTGGTACAATGGGGACAGCCATGCACAGATTGAGGGTAAGGGCTTTCCAGGCAGAGACCATGCAAATGCAAAAGCTCAGTGGTGAGAAAGATATCCTCAGGAGGAGCAGCAAAGAGGCCAGTGTGATTGGAGTGAAGGAATCAAAGAGCCGGTTAGCAGGAGAGGAGCTCAGAGGGCAGGCAAGAGTCATACCACATGCCCCTTGGGGCCAATGTAAGCAGTTGGGATTTTTAAGACGAATGAGAAACTTCAGAGAGTCTTAAGCAGGTGAGTGTCATGGTCTGGTTTCCACATGGATTGCTGTACAGGGAAATGAATGAAGAGGAGACAAATTGACAGGAGGGGGCCAGTTAAGAAATTACAGCCAACTTCCGAACTAGAGACGGGGCCTGACTGGACGGAGGCCTTGGGGATGTTGACAAGAAGCTGGATCAGGAGCTCTTGATGCCAGAGCTCTAGCTGTCCACCTCGTGCCTGAGCCTTCGGCCACAAGCCAGGACGGGTGGCGGTGCCCAGCAGCACCCTTCGGCAGAGACAGGCACTCTGAGAGGAGTAATCCTGGGCAAGACCCAGCTCAACCCAGCCAGCCCAGCGCCCCAGGGAGCAGGTGGGGCTAGGAGGTGCGGCCAAGAGGAGGGTGGTGGGGGAGGGCCAGGAGACTCACTGTCTGGATTCTGGTCTCTCTGAGTCCATGCAGGGGAGGTAGGTATGTAGGTAAGGCCAATGGTGGAGCGACATCTTTCCTACGCCT